CAACAATGAATGAATGGAATTCCAAAATCTCTGTAGATGTTCATTGACATGAAAAATAAATTGATTAATAAAAAAAAAGCAAAGCACTTATCAATAAATTGAGTCCAACTCACAGCAACTTTGAACGTGTCAGAGTAAAGCTATGCTCCACAGGTTTTCGTAGACAGGGTTTTCATGTGACAGAACAGAATTGCCCTATGGCATTATCCAGGAGCTTTGGCAGCCTAGTGGTAGGGAATGGTGCTGACATACCAAAGGTATGCAGTTCACATCTACCAGCTCCTCCTCCAGAGAAAAAATGGCTAATCAACTACCAGGCAATTTACTGCCTCTGACAATCCACAGGAGAGTCAACAATGAGTTGGTTCTAATTCACTAGTACACAACAACAGAGAATTGTCCAGACTGTAATCTTTTTTTTAAAATTATATTACTCTAATTTATTTACAAAGTTTGAATACATTGTTTTTCACGAGAGATCCTTCCCATATCAAATTGTGTTACCTTCTGACTAACACCCTACCCCTCCATCCTCACGCCTCTATTTCCACCCTCTCCACCCCACCCTAGCTGTGGATCCACATACTCCTTCTACAATAATGGTTTTATACAGTATTTGTCCTTGTGGGACTGACTTAGCTCACTCAGCATAATGCGCTCCCGTCCCTTGCAAGTTAAGTGGTAATTTACAGAATCATTGCTCCTGCAATAGTATTCCATTGTATGAATGTACCACAACTTCTCAATCCTTTCATTTGTGGTTGGACATCTGGGCTGTTTCCATGTTCCTGTGATAGTGAATAACGCTGCTATGAACATTGGTGTATAAGTTTCTGTTTGAGCCTCAGTTCTCATTTTCTTGGGGTATATTCCAAACAGTGGAATAACTGGATCATATGGAATTTCTATGTTAGTTTTTTGAGGTAGCTAGCGCCAAGCTGCCTTCCAGACTGGTTAGGCTGTAATCTGTATGGGAGTAAATCACCAAGCCATTCTCCCTCAGGGCCCGTTTTGTACAAGGACTCCGTCATAAACCCCTTTGAAGAGCAGAAGATATCACTGTGCTATTATTTCAAGAAGAGATGGGCCAAGAAGCCACTTAAGTAAAGGAGTCTCTGTATCTGCAGGGAAATTGCTGGAGTCAGAGATAAAGCAACCAGGAGCATCAGGTTGTAAGGTAGACTTGATCCTCACACTGCAGTCCTGCAGTCTCAGGTAGGTTACCAAACCTCTCTGAATGTCAGTTGCCTCATTTGTAAATGAGCAAAAGTCTCCCCTACACCTGTTGGACTGAAGGAGAAATGGTTAGAAAAGGGCCTGGAAGGTAAAGAGTTGTGCTTCCAACCCAAAGGCAGGCAGTTTGAATCCATCACCTGCTCTGAGGGAGAAAGATGGGCAACCTTGTCCCATGTGATTTAAGCCACTGAAAATCCACTGGAGGGTCAGCTATGAGTTGGTTCCAACTTGACGGCCCGTAACAAAACAACAGCAGCAATTGCTGTAACAACCAACATTCTATCGTTGAAATACTTAAAATAGTTATTGCTTGTCAGGAGTCTCTCAAATGGTTAATGTTCTCGCCTGCTAACTAGAAGGCTGGAGATTGAGGTCAACCTGTGGCACTGAGGAAGATAAGCCTGGCTGTCTACTTCAGAAAATTCAGCCACTGAAACACTGTGTTTTCAGTCCTACTCTGACTCCAGGAGGTCACTATGAGTGGAGGCTGATCCCAAGGCAAAGGTTTGGTTTACTTATTTTGAGTACTTATTTGTGTCATACTTTCTACTTCTCAAACCCTACAATTTAGTTATAACAATCCATGTTATGTGGGAGCTCTGGCAGGAGTCTGTAGGGAACTGCTGTTAACCCAAAAGAAGTGCCTTCCTGCTGGCTTGAGTCCCCCATGCTTGCAGCCTGAGAAAGAAGGGCTGTCTCCTCACACAGGATTCACAGCTTCGGCAAACCACCTGGGGGGCTGCTATGTGTCAGTTCTGACTTTTGGACAATGAGTTGAGTTGCTACGTTTTACATGAGAGGGAACCTAGACTCAGAGAGGTAGAGTAATTTTCCAACATGAATTCCCTATAAAAGAACTCTTGTACCTTGCCTCTATACCAGCCTGCCTCCAATGAAGAGGAAAAGGGAAAACCTGGCCACAAAAAAACCCCCAAATCCCTTACTGCTGTGTCAGTATGGCTCACAGCAACCTACAGAACAGAGCACAGCTGTCCCTGGCTGTTTCCAAGGCTGTAAGTTGACACAAAACCAGACTGCTATCCTTTCCCCACAGACTGGCTCCTGGGTTCCAAATGCTTACGTTTTGGCCAGCAGTCAAGTGCTTAATGGCTGAACCACCAGAGGACCTTTAAAAGGACCATATTAGAATAAAAAAAAAACCCACAAAAAAAAAACAAACAAATAAACCAAACCCCAAATCACAAAGAAATATGACACAGGCCCTAGAGGGGAAACAAAAAACCTTAAGAAAATTTTTGAGGGGGCATTGGTGAATTTTTCTTTTCTTTTCAACTGGGCAAGGATGCGGTAGTGTTCAGCTATGGTCAGGACAGGCTGGGAGCTGGGAGCCCCATATGTGCAGAATTGGGGTAAAAATGTCTTCACATACCGCGTCCAGTGACCTGCAGAGCCAGCAGCACATTGAGGGCTGGGCTTCTGTGAGAAGAGGGCAGAGGTGGGAGGCAGGTACAGAGCCAGCATAAAGCCCACTTTGGGTTGAGCTGTGCACCCAGGTCTGGTAGGAAGCCAACAGCCGGACAGAGGGACACAGGCTGAATTACTTCCCTGAAGTAAGTTAACATTCAGTGACGTAGGAACAGCATTTTGTTTGTTCTCACCTCTCCATTAGCTTGTTGGTGTGCTGTGGCTCCCTTATCGCTCTGCTCTGGCTCCCCTGCCCCCCTTTTCTCCCCACCTCTGGTGTGGACAGCTCTCCTCTGACCTTTCTAGCCTCCTTGTGGCTCGAATATATGCTCTCCTTTCCCCTCCCGCCTCCTCCCTCTCCACCACGCTGACAGACTGTATCAGCGAATCCCTCAACAGTGCCATATCTATTTTTTTTTATTCATTGCATGCTTTATTTTTAGCCTGAATCAACTGCCTCCTAAAAATGGAGTTCCTAATGAGGCGGGGGCTGGGCAGAACTATGTAAGTTATCTAGGCTCGGCCCCCCAGTCCTCCCTGCCTGGCGCTTACTCTGCTCATGTATGTGAGTGTGTGAGCCTCAGGTCTCTGTGTCCTGAGTCCTCGATTACAGAACTAGCTGTACACAAGGAGGTGAAGAGCCCAGTAGGGCAAAGGAGAGAGACAAAACCAGCCTCACTGTTGCCCATACGGCTCGGCAAGGCCTCTCCCAGCCTGTGGTTTCTCTCCTGGGACACAAGCACAAAACTTGTCCCAAATGAGAAGAACGCACCTGTTTCTTGCAGGGGTCTGCTTGCTGTCCTCCTGCAGGGCAGAGGAGGGCCTGAATTTCCCCACCTACGATGGGAAGGACCGTGTGGTCAGTCTCACAGAGAAGAACTTCAAGCAGATTTTGAAGAAATATGACTTGCTCTGCCTCTACTACCATGAGCCTGTATCTTCAGATAAGATAGCACAAAAACAGTTCCAGCTGAAAGAGATTGTCCTTGAGGTAAGCAGGGGGGGGGTGCTGACTGAGCTGCCTTAGAGAGCATGGATACCTTATTGTGTCTTTAGTGAGGGCTGGGAATATGAGCTGGAAAATACATAGGGAGTATCTTCATTTTAGTCTCACAGACATCTGAAGATATTTTTGTTGCAAAGCCAGGATGAGGAACACTGGGGTGAGTCTGGACTTTTAAGCAGAGATAACAAGATAACATCATTCAGTATAGTGCATGGGTTTCATTTAAAGTCTCACGTCACCATCTTCTTAATTTTCCAAGAAATTGTTGAAACTATTGTATCAGAGATCACTGGTGCTTTGATTAAGTGTCCTAACACCCCCTCCTCACCCTCAAATGCCCCATGATCTTGGAGAAACTGGTCACTTGATGAATCAGGTGGGGAATATCACTGGGTGATTATCTGCTCGTCTGAGCTGGTTTCCACACACAAGTGAAAATCCTTATACCTTCATTAATGAAACTTTGGTAGGTTAGACTTTTTTTTCTCAGTGTAGTTTTAGGGCAGATACTGAAGTCAGTTTTTATTTTATCCACATTACGTGGTCTCCTTAGAGCCTGGTGCTGGGTCCTGTTGTCTAATCCTGTGTGAATGCGGCAGAACTACCTCTGAGACAGCCTAAGATCACTTACACTCAGCCAGTGCTTGTTGGGGCCAAGAGTTCTTCAGTCACCCCCGCACCCAACCCAGCCCACTCAGACCTAAGAATTTGAGAATCACTGAAGTTTATTCACCAGTACAACAAGAGAACTCAGCTTAATGACTTATTTTGTTTACCAGAATTACCATAGAAAACACATGTGGATCTGGATTCTCTAAAATGTGACTGTAATAAAAAGCAGGAAAATTATGCAGAACATATAAAGATGTGTTTCACAGTTTGTAAAACGTTCCGCATCCCGTGTCTCTTGATCATCATTTAAAGCATCTATTTTTTAATAGGATTTGTACATGTGTTCATTACCAAAAATAACCTCTGCTTTACAAAAAAACTGCTGTTTTCAGCTCAGTTCGGAGTCAGTGACTCTGTAAGACAGGCATAGGACTGTCTATAGAGTTTTTAAGGCTGTAAATCTATACGGAAGCAGACTGTCTCATCTTTCTGCAGTGGAATGGCTAGTAGGTTTGAACCAACCACCTCCTTGTTAGCAGTCAAAGGTCTTAACCACTGTGCCACCGCAGCTCTGTTAATTGACATAGTGCCAAATGCTTTAAAACATCACCACTATGGAGATACACATATTATATAGAGCCCCTCAGGTTCTAGCCTGAGTCCGAACGTACTATTTCCTATCTTCTTTGCAAGTGGAAAAGAATGCAAGGACAGTTATTGATCTTTATAAGTAGGAAAATTCTGGGCTGAGAAAAAAAGATAAATAACTTCTCTGCTTAGCCTATGAGTTATCAAGCACATTGCCATACCTCTCTTACACTGCAGTATTCAATTATTGAAAGATATTTTTGTTACAGAGTTAATTGAAGGCATAAGGACTCTATGTTCATCACTGCCTCATTAGCCCGAATCAGTTGCCTCATAAAAAAAGGAGTTCCTAATGAGACTCAAAAAGAATTTGGGGTGGTTATAGCTCCAGTTCTGATCTCCCTTTAAAAACTTACATGTGTTTGCCTGTGTGTGTGTGTATTCCCAGTGTGTGCACACATACACAGTGGTCCCTGAGTAGCTCAAATTGGTTAGCGGTTGACTGTGAGCCGATAAGGTCGTGGTTTTAACGTACATAGAGACGTTGAAAGAAAGGCCGGCTGTTTGTGTCAGAAAGATTGAAGATTTGAGCCACCCAGGAAGACCTTCAAGATGAGTTGACACAGTGATCATAACATTTGGCTCCAGCATATCAGAGATGGTAAAGATAGGGCAGAACAGGGCAAGGTTTGGATCTATTGTTCATAGGGTCACTATGAGTCATAACTGACTTGATGGCTCCTAACAACAACAACAGAGGTAGGTACCTTGGAACACAGGCCTGACCAATCTCCTTTTGAAAGGTCAAAGTCTTAATCTTATGGAACAGTTGTCCTCTGCACACATGGGGCCACAATGACTCAGAATGGACTCCACACCAACCAACACCACACACACACTCACACTCACACACATGCACACACTCAAACACAGATATTTATGTATTTACATAAGTTCACTTCTTCCCCAAAGACCAAAGAAAATCACAGGAAGGGACACTCCCCTTGGGCTCACCTTCCCCCAGATACCTACCTAGCCCAGCATGCCCCTTTCCCAGGTGGGTGCCTGGTGGGCAGCTGGACTGGGAGGAATTCAGACAGGAGGTAATCTGACACCTCAGGTTCCTAAAGCTGCAGTGAGCTCTCCTTAGGGAAAAAGAACACCCAACTTGGAGCCAAGAGGTCTGCATTTAAGTTGCAGCTCTGCCACTACTAGACAGATGACACAGGGCTACTTACTCCATGTCTCTCTCATAAAAAAAGACATGAAAAATATCTATAAAGTTTGAATATGATAAAATAATAGTTTGAATGTTTACTGTGTTTGAGATCTGTTGTGAGTCCTTCATACATATAAATGGATTTAATTCTCACAACAATGAATTTACCATCTTCATTTTACAGCTGGATAAAATGAGGCACACAGAGGCTGAGTGTCACAGCTTGTGCTAGTGAAAGCAGTCCTGGTCCCTATACAGCACTGTTCTGGTCAGCAAACAAGGCAGTGTGCAAAGGGCTGCCTAAAATCCTATACAGAGGGTTCCAAGAGTCACAGTTAAATAAAACCATTATTAGATGGAGCCACCCAGCCCTTGAGTTGAAGCACAGAGCCCTGACGGCTCTGCTTTTGAGGAGACACAGCTCCTCAGTGAGAGGTGGCCAGGTGTGGGAAGGATACGTTTGTCAGGATGCCAAGTATAAGCTCTGTTTCTCAGAATCCAGGACAGAAATGGTCCCAGGAATCCCATGACTGGAAAAAGAGGACAGATTAAGTCTCTAAGTTTCCATTATCAAAACAAATATTTTTGTCCTCTTACTCCCTGGGACCCCAAAGCTGTCCTAAGAACTCCCTCTTGTCCTGGGCTGTGATTGTGGCACCAGGAGAAAGTGGAAGACTAGGTAGCCTCAGAAGTGTGCATCCCCTCACCAGTGGTGTGGTCTTAACCATGGGCAAGGGATGCAAAGTCTGTCTCCCTTTTGGTAGATTAGGAAGGAAACTGGCAACGTTTTTGGACCTTAACCTAACTTACCCACATGAGTTCCACATACACATGCATGCACACACATAAACACCACCCCCCAGAAAAAAAATAGTTGTGAGACAATGCTTACCTTTATTATTTGTAGAGCATTTGAGTTTATTATTCCTTTGACTTGATGACAGAGGAAGAGCTGACTGTGGGAGTGATGGGGAAGGTGTGACAGAGAAAAACTGGTCTTTGAAAATGAATAGAGATTTACTCAGCAAATAAGCAAGGGGACAGGAGGGAACCACAGGAGCAAGGTTCTGAGAAAACAATTGTCCTTATCTTGTTCTGTCCTAGTCTATGTAAAATAGGTTGGGCCTAATTTATTAAACAGAATTCACTCACCAATGCTAAAGGAGCTCTGGGTGTTTAGTGGTGAAGGATTTGTGCTGCTGACCCAGAGGCACACGGTGCAAATCCACCAGCTGCTCCTTCGGAGAAGGATGGGCAGTCTCTTCCCATGCACTTTACTGTCCCTGAAAACCTACTGGAGGGTCAGGTGAAAGTTGGTTCCAACTTGATGGCACATAACAACAACAGCAATGATAAGCTGGCTACCCTAAGCCTGAAAAAAATTGATTTGGGGATTAGAAGTTTACTACTCACCACACAAGGGTGAGTGATGCTGCCACACAACTGATGCTGCCAGTTAGTTACACCTCCATATTGCGGCGATGAGGTGGATATGTCAGAGGCAGTGAGGCTGGCTCACAATGGGGCAAATTTCAGAGTTATTGTTCATAAGGTTGCTATGATCTGTTCTGATAAAAGCCAAGAAGCAACTGTGGTCAATCATGTATATTTTGTCTGCTCTAAACTGTTTCAATGAACAGGCCCAGAAATAGCACCATTCACAGGGAGAGGCATTCATTGCCTACTAGGGGCCCTTGGAATTCTGGTAAGTTAGCCACACACCTGTCAGACATTGACTCTACGCTGAGCCTGGGATAGATGCTGTGGGTAAAGGGAAAATGAGACGTCAAGTGGCTCATGGCCTAATACAGAAGAGAAGATACAAACAAAGCTACAGTGCAGTGAAGTCACTGTAATAGTAGAGCTATTTATAAGGTTCTCTGGGCGAGCAGATGACAGAGGAAGAGCTGACTGTGGGAGTGATGGGGAAGGTGTGACAGAGAAAAACTGGTCTTTGAAAATGAATAGAGATTTACCCAGCAAACAAGCAAGGGGACAGGAGGGAACCACAGGAGCAAGGTTCTGAGAAAACAATTGTCCTTAAGGCAATGCTGGCTTATGGGGGACCCCGGGCATGTTGGGGTAGAACTGTGCCCACAGTGCTTTCAATACTGTTGTTTTCAGAAGTAGAGCTCTAGGCTTTTCTTCATAGACACCTCTTGTTGAAGTCAAACGCCAACCTTTCAGTTAGCAGCCAAGCATTATTTTCTCTTCAGTTCCATTTCACCCTATTCAGTTCCGTTTCATGTAAAAAAGATTGGGTCCTATATCCTAAATTTACTCATTTTAAATAATAATTTGAGTATCTTAGGTTGAGTACTCCAATGATAAGTTGGGCACTACCTGGGGTTTTTAAAGACCTGATAGATCTTAACTATTTTCCAATTCACACTCAATGAGATGGATTGGCATAAAGGCTGCAGCAATGGTATTAAGCAGAGCAGTGAATAAGGATGGAATAGCATTGGACAGTGTTTCCATCTGTTATCCACAGGGTCACTCTGAGTAGGAACCAACTAGATGGCACCTAACAACAGCTGTCTCTTAAAATTACACCATGAGGACC